TGGGCCCCCCCAGAGGCCCTCTTTGACAATCTCGTAGCTTGCTGTCCTGGGCCGCCTGGGAGGCTCTCTGGCTGTCTGCAGGCCGTGCTGGAGGATTGGCGCTCCACCTTGGGGTCCCCGTGGCCGTCCTGGTGCCGTATTGGACACCTTCGAATCCGACGAGGGAAGGACGCCAAGCTCTTGTTCGAAGGACGTCAGCTCGAGGTGCGCCTGTCGCTCTCCTGGACCTTCTTGGGGGGGCTCGTGGGCCTGCTTGAGGGCACCTGGGCAGTCTCGGGCCATCTTGCTGCGCCTTGGAGGCACGGGCCATCTTGGCAGTCCTCGTGGCCTGCCTCGGCGCTCGTGGACGCTCAGGAGCGCGGGTCCACCGTTCTTTCTGCGCGCGGGATCGCTGCCTCGGGGGCGCGGGCCGTGGCCTCGTGAGCGCGCATCCGCAGTTCTGCTGCCAGGGATCGCAGCCTCGGGGGGGGATCCACAGGTTTTGCCAGGGACTGCGGCCTCGGGAGAGGGTGCATAATGCACGCGGGAGTCCGCGTCGAGAGGGGGGCGGGTTTCAAGGAGGTCTCAAACGTTCCCCACCATACAGCATTCAGTGTTTCACCATGCCCCCTTGTGCTGGGCTGCGCGGTTTCGGATCAATGGTAATTGATGCTGTAGGTGATGTTGCCGACGATCAGGATGACGATGGTATCATTGACGGTAAAGTGTTCTGATGGTGACGATGATGGTGATTGTGCCGATGGCGCGGTCGACTTGGTCGCAGCCAATAGTATGGTGTTTCGATGGCGATGGTGATGGTGTTCGAAATAGTCGTGGTGATCACCCATCACTGCTGCTCAGTGTTTCTTCATTGATGTAAGGTCGCGTCTCTTGCACTCAGTTTTCTTATGTTGGGAAGTCTTGAGCCTCAGAGTGTGTTGTTGGTCGCCAGACTGCGACAACAGCGGCCCTGCCCGAGACTGCCCATCAATACATTCATGAATCGCGCTCTTACTGGATACGTCGATACGTCCTTGCAACTGCTGAAGAATCGCGCCCTGGCGTGGGAGCTCATAGTTTACTTCAGGCATCACGCTCCCGCCTTTCATGATCATCCCTGGGGCTTCTTTGCACACAACCCAGGTGGCTACGACAAATCCTCCACCGTGCCAGCGACGCAAGCCGCGTGCCGACTCCTGGAGCACCGTCCGCGAGGCCGTCACCACATCTATTCCAGCCTCCTCTTCAGCGTCATATGCATCCTCCTCCTTCTTCCCGACTATCTGCTCGCCCTTTATTCAGCCTCTGCGTCAGCCTCCCCGGGGGGCCCTCAAGATGAAAGACCACGCCGCGGAGAAGTGGTCCACGCGTCTGGGGCTCCACGCTGTGACACCAGCCGCGGCGCCGAGGCCTGGGTCAGGGTCGAGGCTTCGAGGTTCGCCGACCCTGGAGCCTCGATCCTCCTCGAGCCTCGATCCTCCTCGGTTCCCAGTCCGTCAGAAGCGTCAGCGTCAGCGTCAGCGTCAGCGTCAGCGTCAGGAGGAGGGTCGTCCGCCCGCCTGCCTGCTTCGCGCCGCTGGCCGGGGCCTCCCGCCCCTCGCGCGCGCCGCCGTCTACACTTTCGTCTCGTGCCCGTTCTCCTGGTATCGCTCGGACCTGTGCATGTGGCTCGGCGGGGACCATCGGGCAACAAAGGCACGCACGGCAACGAAACATGCATGGGGAATGGACGTCCGAGCGATTGCGGGTGCTCTTTCCCCCTCTCCGTCGCCGCGCAGCGCCGACTGCCCAGAGCCGGCGGCGGATTCCGAAACGAGGAAGCCTACACGATTGAACTGCAGCCAATGAGCTGATTTGCGATCGAGAATTTTGACGAGGTGCGTCCGTCTACATCCCCAGGGCGACAATTTTTTTCTTCCGGGAGCGGAGAGAGGATTTGAGGTCTTGAGCCGACGCGTATGCGATAACCGCTGTCGGATCCAATTCAGCTTGCGCGGAATCAATTTCGGTCCCTGCTTATGTTCCGGTGGATCCGATCTCCGTCCGCACGGATCCGATTTCGGATGTTGTGGACCCGATTCCCGTATTGTTTTTTCACGCGGATCCGATCTCTATCCCGTTTTTATCCAATCCAAACGGGACAATGGAAGATATCAGATCCGTGGACCCCGCAACCGCAGTCAGCCCGCGTTGAGATTCAACGGGGGAGGGGGATTCGGTTATCACCGTCCCAGGATGGGTCCTGGGCTGTCCCGCGCACTCCCATCAATTCTGCGCGCGGGCCCCCACTCAATATGAACACATCTTTTCTCCTGGTTGCTGCAAACGGCTCGCCCAGACGCCACACGTTTTGCGACGCCGCTGCGGTCTTGCGAACCTCTCATCGGTTTCACCTCAAGAGGAACATCTGTTGTCCTGCGTGAGTAATGACTATCGAATGGCCTTCGGACCATCCCGCCACCGTGCCTGGGTCGTAGGTATGAAGCCTATTGAATGTTCGTTGGGATCTTGTGGGAGGCTTCTCGGGGCCTCTTGGAGGCAGTTTGAACGATTCCTGGGGGCCGTTTGGGTGATTCTTGGAGCTTTTTTCCTGCCTTATGAGCGCCTCTTGGGGAGTCTTGGGGGCCTCTTGAGGGCCTCTCAAGGGCCTCCTGTGCGACTCCTGGGGCCTCCTGGGGGCCTCTTGGGGCGGAAGGCTTGGATGTTCGGTTTGTTGTCCCTTTTTGGGTCTCCTTTTAGGGCCGGCTTCGGGCCCTCTCTGGCCGTTTTGGGCGCCATCATTTATTTTTCGCGAATGTCAAACAAGACAGTGTTGGAGAAGGCAGGCCGGGTACACGCTTCGTGCAAACTGTTACAACAACAGCTGCTATTGTATGGAAGAGTGGCGCGTGCGTTGGAGGGAGACGAGTTGAAGAAGCGCACTTTCATCCCCGGAACGCACATTTCGGCAACGGAGAGATTCGTGAACAAGGTTGGTCGCCCGAGGAACGAATGGGTTAGCCAAGTCGCCAAACACGCTGCCAAGGGCCGGCGTGAGCCGGCATTGCATGTCCTAGTTGCGTCTACGCGCCTTTCGGCATACGACTTGTGAGTGAGTGGGCTGTCTTAGGGCACTCTTGGGCAGTTTAGGGGGCCCCATTAGGGGCCTCTTGGGCCGTCTTGGGCCTTTTTTGGGGGCCGCTAGGGCCGTCTCGTAGCCTCGGGAAGCGAGAACGTCAACATCCTTCACCAGCCTAAGGCAAATCACTGATTCTGGCCGATTGGAACTCAAGGGAGGCCTCTTGGACGCCTCTTTGGGCGTCTTGGAGGCCTCTTGGGTCTTCTGGGGGCCATTTTCAGCGTCTGTGAGCGATCGTTCGACGACTGGAGGAGGGCGTGGAGATAAAGGAGGAGGAGGATGAAGAGGAGGAGGAGGAGGAGGAGGAGGAGGAGGAGGAGGAGAAGGAGGGGAAAGGAGGGGAGGCGGAGGGGGAGGCGGAGGCGGAGGAGGAGGAGGCGGAGGATGAGGAGGAATTTAAGAGTAGTACGATGATGAGGAAAACGAGGAGTAGGAATACGAGGAGGAGGAATGATGGGAGGCGGAACGCGAGGAGGAGGAGGCGGAGGAGGAGTACGAGGAGGAGGATGAGGAGGAGGAGGCGGAGGAGGATGAGGAGGATGAGGATGAGGAGGATGAGAGGGAGGAGAGGAAGAAGAGCGATGGATGAGAGGGAGGAGGATGAGGAGAAGGAGGAGGAGGAGGAGGAGGAGGAGGAGGGGGAGGTGGAGGCGGAGAGGGAGGAGGAGGAGCAGGAGGAGGAGGAGGTTAACGACGAGGGGGCGGAGGAGGATGAGCAGGACGAGGAGGAGGAAGACGACGACGACAAGGAGGAGGAGGAGGCGGAGGAGGCGGAGGAGGAGGAGGAGGAGGAGGAGGAGGAGGAGGAGGAAGAGAAGGAGGAGGAGGAGGAGGAGGAGGAGGAGGAGGAGAAGGCGGAGGCAGAGGCGGAGGAAAAGGAGGAAACGTGGCCTGGGGAGGAGGAGGATCAGGCTCGAGGGTCGAGACCTGCTGGCGCTCGTGGTCTGCCGGGGGGCTGGCGGCGCGGTTGCCCGCCCCGCCGCTCCGCCTCTGTGGAGGCGCCCGGCCCGCGGGCGCCGATCACCGTGTGCTGAGCCGGGCGGCGGCGCCCCGCAGCGGGCGCCTTGGGGTCGCCTCGGGCGCCCTCGGGCGAGGGCGAGGACCCTGAAGTGTGGGGCCGTCAGGGTGTCTTCGGGCGGCTGGTAACGGAGGGTGACCGTTCCAAAGGAGGCCCCAAAGGGCTCCGTATTTCAGCCCCCGTACCCCCCATGCCACCCGCCCGAAGTCTGGAGTGCCCAGCCCTGGTTCCAGCCAGCAGGAAGGGCGGGCAATTTCCGGGCTCTGGGTTCGGACAAGTGTTTGTTGCCTTTTTCGGCCTCTGGGGATCGTCTTCGGGCCCCGCGGGTTTGTGAGCATCGGACCCAGGGTTAAATTTTGCACCAGAGATGGACCCCAGGATTGGTCCGCGGACCGATTTTGAATGGATTTGGCTTAACCCCTTCCTCCTGACACAATTTTGTCCGAGATCCCAACCAGTTCAGACCCCCTGGCCGCCTCAAACCTGAGATCCTCAAGTGCGTTCACTGTTCGGTCGTTTCGGTTGCGTCGCACGCGGTTGCGTTCGGTCGGTTCGGTTCGCTCTGCGAAGGTGTCGTTGCCGCGTTGCTGGGCCTTCCTGGGCTGCGTTCGGCCTGCCGGTCTCGGTCGGTTTCGGTTTCGCTGTCGGTTCGGTTGGTTTAATTACGGTTTTGCTGCTGCCGTGCACGACCTTGTGATCATTGTGTCTCCATTTTGTCCCTCTGTGGTAGCAGACTGTTGCCCCTCTACTCCCCTGCCCGCACCCCCGCCCTTCGAGGAGAGGAGGACGAGCATGCGAGGATGGAGGTGGATCGAGCGACGAGGATCGTGGAGGCGGATCGAGCGTCGAGGGATCGGACAGGGGGAGGATCGAGGAGGGGCCCCTTCCCCTCTCCCTCCCCTCGCTCCCCCTCCTGCCCTGCCCCCCATCCCCCCCTCGGAGATGCGATGCTGCGCGAAGGTCTTGCAGCGCCGTGAACAAGAGCACGGCCAGTGCTCCCAGCCCGCTCCTTCTGCGCCAGTGCTCCCACAGGCTGGACGCCACACACTCAAACGATATTCAAAACATTCTCCCATCGTTTTTGGGGCCTCTTTTTGAACATCATTGGCCCATCATGTTGTGCCTCACCATCATGGTTTGAACATCATAGTCCCATCATTTCTGGGGTTTTCATTAGCCAAACGATATTCAAATATTTTGTCCCATACATTTTTGGGGGCCCCTTTTGAATCTTCCCGTGGAGGGACGCGCCCGACTTGACGCCAGGTGTCCCCGCGCATCGGTCCCTAAAGGCCCCGGGGCTCGAAGCCCGGCGCTCTCTCGCCGAGGCCCGCCGGGGTCTCGGGGCGGCCCCGCCCACCTCGAGGCCCTCCCGCGGTGCGCCCGCGGCCGCCGCGGCGGTCCCCGCGCGAGGCCCGCCAGGGGACCTCCTCCTCCTCCTCCTCCTCCTCCTCCTCCTCGCCCTCCTCCCCCTCCTCGTCACCATCCTCTTCCTCCTCCTCCTCCTCCTCCTCCTCCTCCTCCTCCTCCTCCTCCTCCCCCTCCTCCTCCTCCTCCTTCCTCCTCCTCCTCCCTCCTCCGCCTCCTCCTCCTCCTCCTCCTCCCCCTCACTCCTCCTCCTCCTCCTCCTCCTCCTCCTCCTCCTCCTCCTCCTCCTCCTCCTCCTCCTCCCCCTCCCCTTCTACCCCCTCCTCGTCACCATCCTCTTCCTCCTCCTCCCCCTTTCCCCCTCCTCGTCACCCTCCTCCTCCTCCTCCTCCTCCTCCTCCTCCTCCTCCTCCTCCTCTCCTCCTCCTCCTCCCCCTCCTCCTCTGGCTGGCCGGCGGTGGCTGGGCGCGCCCCGAACGTGCGCCCTCGCCCTGCGGGGCCAAAATAGGAGGGCGCGGGTGCGCGTCGGAGGTCAGGGGCAGCCCAGGGGGCGGGGGGGGGAAGCTCCACCATGGGCTCTGCTTCTGTCCGCCCCCCCCCTTCCCCCCCCCCTCCCTGCTTTTCTCTCCTGGCGGGGTACAGGCTCCGTCCCTCCTTCGCCTGCTCCTCCTGCTGCTCCTCCTCCTCCTCCCCAGTCCACGGTGTCCACGGTCTCCTCCTCCTCCTCCTCCTCCTCCTCCTCCTCCTCCTCCTCCTCCTCCTCCTCCCTCCCCCCCTCCTGGTCGGCGTTTTCCTCCTCCTCCTCTTCCTCTTTCCCCTCTTCCTCCTCCTCCCCTCCCTCCTCCTCCTCCTCCTCCTCCTCCTCCTCCTCCTCCTCCTCCTCGTCCTTCTATTCCTGCTCCTCCTCCTCCTCCTCCTCCTGCTCCTTCTTCTGTTCCTGTTCCTGTTCCTCTTCCTCCTCCTTCTCCTCCTCCTCCTCCTCCTCCTCCTCTTCCTCCTCGTTGTTGCACGGAGGAAGCCGCGGAGGCATGCTTTTTTGTTTCTTTTTTTGGTGGGACCCCAGTCCCTCCATAATATGGGCGTCGAAGAGAGAATTCGTTTACATTATCGGGTGGTGTCGCAGGACCTGTTTCAGGGGCAACGATTAGGCGGGATAGGCATAGGGGGGATGCATCAACCCCCAATCACCCATGGATCGCCGATCGGGGCCCGATGGCCCCAACCTTCCCAGGAAGGTTCGTATTTGCTATCTGGTGCCTATCGCCAATCTATCTGCGATGTATCGCCGATTCAAGGTCGATGCATCCCTCCCTTATGCCAGTCCCCCCCTATCGTTGCCCCCCACTGTAGAGGTTGTCCCAGAGGGGGTTGTTTGGTAGGGTTATCTGGATCTCCGCTGTGTTGTCGAAGCGGATGTCAGGGGTAGGCCGTCTTATCGTCATGAATCAGCATGGGCTGTCGTGGTTGCCCTGGGGGTTCTCCAGAAGTTGTTCTGGATTGGAGGGGGGGATTCATCGACCCCCAATCGCCCATTGATCGCCCCCAACCCGCCCAGAAAGGTTCAGATTTGCAATCCGGGGGCCTATCGCCGATCTATCGGCGATGCATCGCCGATTCCAGGTCGATGGTTCCCCCCCTTATGCCACTCCTCCCCTATCGGTGCCCCTCAGTAGGAGGCCCTGGCATTCCTCCGTGGTAACACGGGCCTAATTTGGCTTAATCCGGCTGGATACCGCTGAATCCGGCTTGATCCCGCTTGACTCCGCTTGACGCCGCGAGCGCGCGGTCTGTTCGTGTCCTACCCGCCCCCCCCGCCAAACTTTTTACAAAATCGTGTCGCTCCCATTTCTTTTTAATCGCTTGCCCCCATTAGTCCAATCTAATCCAGCCCACTGGCCCCTCCACTTTTCGGACGCAGTCCCTCCAGGAGGTGCCTCCCAATCTCCCCTCTGCTGGTGTTGTCCAGCGCAGGCGCCGCCCCGCCCATGACTTGCTCTTGCGCGAAGGAGTTGATCCTTCGTCCACGATGGCCTGTGTTCGATCGCACTGTGTTGGGCATGGTTTGTCATGTGCTTTTTCTCCGAGATCTTCATTGGAAATTCGTATACGACCGTCCCGAATAGCCACTCAAACATTCTGGCGATAGCCTACGCATAGCTTATGCTAGGCCCCAATTGGCCTGTGCCATGCGCAGGCTATCCAAAGGCCTACCATAGGCCAGTGGACAGGCTATCTGTAGGTCTACCATAGGCCAGTGGACAGCCTATCCACTTGTCCCATGGTAGGCCTATTGATAGCCTATGCGTGGGCCTGTGGGAGCCTGCGCCGTTGGCTTGCTACAGCCTTTACACAGGGCTACGATAGGCCTATGCGCAGCCTGTCGATAGGCCTATCAAAGGCCTGTGCATAGTCAGCCCATAGGCCTACGATAGGCCTCTCGGCAGGCAGGGCCTGTGGGCTCCTGCGCCACAGGGCTATGCACAGGCTATCCATAGGCCTACGCATGGGCCTACGCATAGGCTGTGCACAGGCCTACGATAGGCCTTTCGATCGGCTTCTTCTGTGGAGCCTCTCCGGGGGCCGGCGCGCCGCGACGGCGACTCGCGCGCGGGGCGGCGGCGGGCGTCCCCGCCCCGAGATCGTTCTCTTGGCCCCAGGGGGGTGTTGGCGGTGTTGGCGTCTCTCGCCGCAGGGCCTGGGCGCAGCTTGGGATGGTGGCCCGGGCGGAGGCGCAGTCCCTCAGATCCAGTCGATCATCCGCAGGACGTGTGTCAGCCCAGGGGGTGCTCTCTCTGTTCAGCTCCGCTGGTGGCACGCGGCCGGTGCAGGCCCTCAAACTGCACCTCCTGCGTCGTGTCGTGTGGAAGAGCTCCGGTGGACAAAGACATCGCGAAGCACACATTCTGCAGATGATCGATACGGGCCTCGTGGGGACAGCGCTGCGAGCATGTCTTTCCCGTCTCGGGCCCAGGGGACTTCCACGGGCCGATCCGGCTCGAGAAATGCCGAAGTTGGGTGGGCTCGAGGGACCTTGTTGCGATGGTCCAGGGATCTGTTGTTCTTCCATGACGTCGGATTTCACGACACAATCTCGCGCACTGAGTAGTAATACTCAATGTGAATGTGTGTGTGTGTGCGTGCGTGCGTGTGTGTGTGTGTGTGTTTCGCACTGGCCTGTTGCTGCAACCCCGCAGATGATAACAAGCATGTGCATGTGTGAGTGTGTATTCGCGGGGCGGAGCTAAATACGGCACCCACCGTGCCTGACAGCACCCATTTATGCATATTTTCGGCAGAGCCCGCGGATGGCCCCGAATGATATCCCGACGCCGAATTTCCAACGTCGGCAAGACTGGTAGGATGCACGTGGCCGAACAAGCCACGCGCACGGGAACGCACAAACCTGAAGCTTCCGTCCTGGAGCACCCGCAAGCAGTCCGCGGCTTGCTGATGTGAGCCAGCCACGCGGCTCTCGCCGCAGGCACTGACATGGCGACTCAGCGCCAGAAGGTCTTCCGTCTCCAGAACTACGCCAGTCTTCGGTGCACCGGGCTTGCTGGGTGTACAATGCGCCGTTCTCCCCGGGCGCCCGCGGTTTCGCATGCCGCTCGCACGCGCCTGCCAAAACCACTGCGTCCGTCCGCCGCGCCCCCAGCGGCGGGGGGGAGGGGGGGGGGGCGCGCCACCGCCGCGCCCCCGCGCCTCGTGCCGGCCGCCGCCATGGCGGCCGCCGCCTCGCCCCTGCTGGTGGAGGCCCCCCTCCCGGCCGCCCTCTGGCGGCCCCTCGGCGGCCCCTCGGCGGCCCGGCCGGCGGCCCCTCGGCGGCCCCTCGGTGGCCCGACCGGCGGCCCTTTTCGGTGGCTGTCCGCAGCCGTTGGTGGCCTCCGGTGGCCGCCGCCGCCATCGTTGTCGGCGTCGTCTCGGGGAGGGCTATCGAGTTGTGCAGGCGGTGTCGAGCTGTTCTCTGCCTCGGAATGCCTCCGGTGACCGCTCGGGGAGGAGGCCATCGTCGTCGTCGTCGTCGTCGTCGTGGAGGTCGTCGATTCTTTCCGAAAGGAGGGTCCAGTGTTAGCCTCCGAAGGCTTCAACTTCAGACCCCGATCGCGTCTGGAGGCTCTGGCGGCTTCCCGGGGTCTCCTGGGACTGCCAGAGGTCGTCTCGTCGTCGCGATCGTCCCTGTCCTTTTTTTGTCCGCAGTCCTCCTCATCCTGTTCCTTCCCTTCGGCCTTCCTCCTCCCCCTCCTCCTCCTCCTCCTCCTCCTCCTCCTCCTCCTTTCTCCTCCTCCTTCTTCTCTCTCCTCGCTCCTCGCTCCTCGCTGCTGATGCTCCACTTCCGCATCATCATTGTCCTCCTTCATCCACCTTTCATGTTCGACACCCTCATTCGTTGCTTGTTTTGTTTGCGTTCGCTGTTCGTTTTTTCGCGCTCCCTCTCTCTGTCTCTCTCGTTATTGTTTCCCTCTCACACGTTGCGTCTATCCTGCCCACTCCTGATACATCCGTCTACACATCTCACCATCAGTGTATGTGCTCATGCCCCTCCTTGATTATCGTCTCTCTTTCTCTCTCTGCCTCGTTGTCTATGTCATGATCGTTACTCCTTCTACTCTCCTCGCTTTCTTCTTACTGTCGCCGTCTCCTGTTTTCCCCTGTCTCCTCCCCCCTCTCTCATTCTCTTCTGTCGCCTCATCCGCCTTCTTTTCACATTTGATCCGTCTCCGCCTTGTTCATATCCTGCCCTTCTTCTGCGTCGACCTCCTCCTCTTCCCCCCTCCCTTCCCCCCTCCTCATACTTGCCTGTCCTCCCGTCAATCGTTGTTTTTCTTCCTGTCTGGTTTTGGCTTTCCCTCCCCCCTCTCCCCCTTTGTGCCCGTTCTCGTTCCCCCCGCCCTCTTTGGAGTGTGGCCCGCCCCTCTCCCCCGACAGTGCGCAGCGACGCCCACGCGCAGGATCTCAATGTTGTTACGACTTGTTTGCAGTGCCCGCCGGAGCCGTCGTGGGCAAAGCTGCGCGCGCTCCCGCCGCGGCACTGACCGCCTCTCAGACTCGGTGTTCTGCTCCCGTTTTTCCCGCCCCGTGCG